ATCACATCGGCTTCTGAGTAAGCATGGAAAATAACACTGTTCGTATGAGTAAGTAAACTTATCTATTGTGCAGAAAACCAATTGCACATCTTTCGGCCATAACTGACAACCTCATACTTGTACTAACATTAAAAACGTGATGATGTGCAGTGTGTTTGCCAAAATTCTCTTTCTTCGTAGCTTTGGAAGTCGTATTTGCAAAAGCATTTGATCCAGTTTTCCGATGCACAGGAAGATAGGTATCTGATCATGGTAACTTTGGCAGTGTATTAAGTAAACATTTCCGAATCACATAACATATCGCTCTCATCTCGTGGAATCGCAATGATAACTACCGAACATTTTAACTTGCTTTTCAAGTTGATTTGGTTCTAGAAATTCATTATTTGTTTCATTTTTAACTTTGAAGTTCGCTTCTTCAAATGACCGTTTCATATTGCAAATTGTGATATTCAGGTGGAATGCATTGAACGACTCCTGAAGTACTTCCCTGACAAAGTGGAGCCGACTATTTGTCGTTGCTTGTACTCGACTTGCTCAGATATTGCACCATTTGGTTGTACATTAGCACTTGCCTATCACATGTCGGTGAGGCACACCGTTCGCGAAGAAGATTCCAAGGCCATCCCCTGTCTGCTGTGTCCGAAAAAGTTCATAACGTAAGTGCATGTTATATTGAGTATGCACTATTTTGATCAAGTCATTGTAATTGTAATTTCAAGGTTAATACTGAAATCAATATCGCTTTTCTAGTTCGGTTCCTTTCATTGCTCACGTGAAGAGGAAGCATGCTAGAGTGAAGCTTGAACACATTGCTTTTCGTAAAAGAGAAGCTGATGAAATTGTTGCGAAAAGAAGGGGAAAACGTGTCAAGGGGGTATGTTTAGCAAAATTCAATGCAAGAGGTTTTATTCGAATCTCTGAGAGTTATAGAAAGGCACAGAGCAAGCCCCCAACATCTGCTTACGCTCTCGCAGTCTTAGTCCAGATTCGGTTGAAGAGTTGTGTGAAAATAACGATGTAAGCAGTTTGATTATCAGAGGTTTTTGTAGTCTGATATTAATTACTCTTTAGGTAAGTGAGAACGGAGTTGATGACCCACCTGTTCTGATAGCTGAGGATACAAGAGAACAGGAAGAGCTCATAAGCGGTCGCAATTCTCCTGTTGCTGAGATCTCCTGTAGCAATAGTTCGCCATATCAACAACTCCATCAGTTGTCGCCTCAAGAGACTGAGGATAAAGAGGAACGGAGCAACACAGCGTGTTCTAACATATCGGCTGAAGAAGAGAAGCAATTTAGCGCATGTGTATCGCGAGTGAGTAGTGTCTTTTCATTTTTGTTTCTTCTTTGTTCATTTTATAACTCCATTTTCTTCGTTCATATTCTAACATCAATAGTGAGCTGCTCGAAGGTTTGCGATATGCTGCAA